CTTGAACTCCTGACCTCAGGTGATCTGCCTGCCTCAGCTTCCCAAAGTACTAGGATTACAGGCATGAGCCACTGCACCCAGCCATACATTCTTGAATTTGTCTTTAGGTCTCTGTAAACTGGTATTTCTGTTGGGTTTATACCCAGGACTGGAATTGCTAGGTTATAGGGTATACGTCCGTGTACCTTTAGTAGATACTGTCAGTTTTTCAAAGAGATCATACAAATTTACAGTGTTTGAGACTCCAGATGTTCCACTTTCTTGCCAACATTAGGATTATCCATTTTTATATTCTCAGCTATTCTAGTGAGGGTCTAGTGGTATCTTATTGTGGTTTTAGTGTGCGTTTCCTTGATGTAATATTGTCCAACTTTTCTCATTGTTCATTGGCCATTTGAATATCCTCTTTTGTGAAGTGCCTATTTAAGTCTTTCGGCCTATTTGTCATTAATTGGGTTGTCTGGTTTTCCTTATGATTTGTAGATCTTTATATATGTTGGCTACAAGACCTTTATTGGGTTTGTTTTTTGTTTGTTTTGAGACGGAGTCTCGCTCTGTCATGCAGACTGGAATGCAGTGGCACGATCCTAGCTCACTGCAACCTCTGCCTCCCAGGTTCAAGCAGTTCTCCTGTCTCAGCCTCCCAAGTAGCTGGAACTACAGGTACACGCCGCCACACCCAGCTAATTTTTGTATTTTTAGTAGAGAGTAGTGAAAGTTTTGTATTTTTAGTCAAGCTGGTCTCAAAAGTCCTGACCTCACATGATCCGTCTGCCTCGGCCTCCCAAAGTGCTGGGATTACAGGTGTGAGCCACCACGCCCAGCCCCTTTGTTGGGTTTTTGTATTGCAACTATCTTCTATTTTGTGGCTTGCCTTTTTCCTATCTTAACAGTGTCTTTTGATGTACAGAAGGTTGTAATACTCAGCTAGTCAATGTCAATCTTTTGGTGGTGGGGGAGCTAATGCTGTTTGTGTCCTGTTTGAGAAATATTTGCCTACCCAAGCTTTATTGTTGTGCCTTTCCGTGATTCATATTGAATTAATTTTGTGCATGGTGTGAGGTTGGAGTCAGTGCTTATTTTCACCTGTATGGATATGCCGTTCCCCTGGCACCGTTCATGAAAAGATCGTTGTCCCTGCACTGAAGGTTAAACACATGCACATATGTTTGTGTGTGTATATATACAAATACACATATAACTGTGAATTTTTGTGCCCATATTTACAAACCCTGTCCTGAGTGTTGGACGTTGCTGGTTAACAGGTGCCTTGTGAATGTGCTTGCACCTGCATGTTTAGTGTATGTTGCCTTCATCGATGTGGTGGGGCAGAACTCCTGGAGCAAACCCTGGCTGCACTACCCTAGGAAGTGGAGGGGCTCAGGTAAGACTGTGAACCCTGACCTTCCCAGTGACTCACAGGGGGCAGCCAGGTAGTTGAAGAAGAGGGGAGAGCTAAGAGAATTTCATATTCTCTGTGCCACCTGACATGCACACTCAACCTCCCACAAGAGCCATCAGAATCAGGAGCAGTGGTGGACAGTCCGGGAAAATGGACATGTGTAGTGCCTCTCCTGTGAGCCAGAGCTGGAGCTACTAGGATGGAGAAGATGCAGTCCCTGCCCTTTAAACTTGCCACTGGTAGGAGGAACACACCTAAACAAATAAACGGGTCACGGTCAGCAGCAATGCCAAAGGGCAGTTCTAGAGTTGAATGTGTTCTACCAGCTGGTGTGGTAATTAGGTAGAATTTACTGAATTTAGAGAGCCCACAAATGAGCTGACTTTTTATGAGATTCTCAAAGCATTCACTAGAGACTGATAGAAGGGAAGTGAGAGGGAATTATTCTCTAAGGGAATAGCCTGAGCATGTCATTACCCCTGCGCTCAGGTGAAGCCAGGTAGTGTGAGGCTGTATCAGGGTGAGGGACTTGGGTGTATGTAGCCTCCCCACCCGAAGTCCTGACTCAGGAAGAGCCGTGAGGAGGACTGCCCTGGTGATCCTGGTGAGAGGGGATGGAGGTGTGGACAGACAGCATGGCTTTGAGAGAACTTCATAGAGTTGTTTGGGCCCACAGTGAATTAGCGCAGCATACTCCGCAGCTCCTAATTTCTGACTGGTTAGCAGTCTCAGAAACCCTGGTCTAGCTGCATTCTCCCTGTCTTGATGGACCACATGTGGAGCACTGGCATGCCTCCTCCTAGATGCCCACAGGCATCAGAGTAAGTTCTTACTGGAGAAGGCCCTAAAAGATTATATCAGAGCAAGTTCAACACAGATTTGCCCTTTTGTTATTTAGAAATTGTATTTACAATGTCAGGTCACTTTGTAGCTCACCTTTCCATTTTAAAGAGGCGTTCCTTGTACTTTTGTTCTGCATGCTGCTTTGTTACAATGGATTTGCAAGGTTTTATTTCTTACACAGTGAGAATCTGGTGACTAAACCTCAAGGGCCATAATGTCCTTTGGAACATTGAGATTTGCCTCCCCCAGTTTGCACATATTGTTTGTTAATTGCAAAGATGATATATGCCTATTGGTTAAAAATTGAGGCGTTATAGAAGTGAAGAAGTAAGAATGCCCTTGCGCCCACCTCCACCTCTGCTCAGTTCTTTAATGACGGTTACTTTTAAAGATTTAGTGAACAGCCTTCCAAACTTATTTTTATTACATATAAATGTATCCATGGGGCATGTGTGTTTTTAATAAAATGGAATCGTTATATACACTGTATAGAAATGGAGTCCTTTTTTTCTTTTTCCTTTTAATTTTTATTTTTTTGTAGAGACAAGGTCTCTCTTTGTCGTGCAGTCTGATCTTGAACTCCAGGCCTCAAGCAATCCTCCTCCCTCAGCTTGCGAGTTCACAGGCGCGAGCCACCACGGCCGGTCCCTTTTTTTTTTTTTTTCCCTTAATTAAACTGTGTGTTGTAGACTTTTTTCAATAAGACATAGAGAGTTCTGTGTTCTTTTTAAGGGTTGCATAGTTGCCCATTATGGATATGTCATTATTTATGTTACCAATTCTTTTTTTTTTTTTTTTGAGACGGAGTTTCACTCTTGTCGCACAGGCTGGAGTGCAATGGCACAGTCTTGGCTCATGGCTCACTGCAACCTCCGCCTCCCAAGCTATTCACCTGCCTTAGCCTCCTGAGTAGCTGGAATTATAGGCGTGCACCACCACACCTGGCTAATTTTTCTATTTTTAGTAGAGACAAGGTTTTGCCATGTTGGCCAGGCTGGTCTCGACCTCCTGACCTCAGGTGATCCACCCACCTTGGCCTCCCAAAGTGCTGGGATTACAGGCATGAGCCACTGCGCCCGACCTATTTTACCAATTCTTTACTGAATTTGTCCTTAACATGTTTAGGTCTGTACAGTTGTATGAAAATGTCTGTAGGAAAAAGTTGTAGAAGTAGAATTGCTGGGGCAAAGGTAAACGCACACTTTACATTTTGAAAAGTATTTTCACATGATCCCCCCACAGGTCACATGAACTTACATTCTTCCCGGTACTCTGTGAAAGTGGCTGTTTCTCACAGAGTATTGGCATCATCATTCTAACTGATGGGTGAAAAATGTCTTACTGTTTTATTATTAGAGAAATTTAGTATCTTTTTAAATGCATAATAGCCATTTGCACATCTTCATCTAATAAGAGCAAAATAAAACATTATAACTTTTTCCAGTGTGATTCTAAATAACTTCGTTAAATGTGTTTCTGTTCAGATGTTTTTCACTTTTATTTGAGTCAAGTCTGTCCATCTTTCCTTTTTGCTATGCTTAGGAAGACTTTACCTTTCCCAAGATTATAGAGAGTCTTCTTTAATTCTGATCTTGAGGTCCACTGGAATTTATTTTTGTGAGTGATGTACAATAAACTCTATTTCCATTTTTCTTCTTCTGTTTTTTTGAAACAGAGTTTTACTCTGTCACCCAAGCTGGAATGCAGTGGCACAATCTCGGCTCACTGCAACCTCTGCCTCCTGGACTCAAGTGATCCTCTCACCTCAGCCTCCTGAGTAGCTGGGACTACAGGCGCACGCCACTACACCCAGCTTTTTTTTTAATTTTTTTTGGTGGAGACAGTGTTTTGCCATATTGCCCAGGCTTATCCTGAACTCCCGTACTCGAGAAATTCTCCCGTCTCAGCCTCGCAAAGTGCTGGGATTACAGGTGTGAGCCACTGTGCTCAGCCCATTCTCTTCCTTAATGGGAAAGTCAGTTGCCCCACCTCCTTTATGAACAGTTCTTCTCATTGATGTGAAATACTACCAAATAATATGTTTTTTTTACTCTTTGTAATTTCCGATTGATCAAATAACTATTTACTGGGATCTTATATAAACGAAGACTCTAAGACTTTAGCTTTTTAGTAAATATTAAAATTATGTATTTTTGAAAAGGTCTCACTCAGTCACCCAGGCTGGAGTGCAGTGGCATGATCATGGCTCACTGCAGCCTCCTTCTCCCAGGTTCAAGCAATCCTCACACCTCAGCCACCTGAGTAGCTGGGAATACAGGTGGGCACCGCTGTGCTCGGCTAATTTTTTAGTTTGGGTAGAGGCGAGGTGTCACTGTATTGCCCAGGTTGGTCTCAAACTCCTGGGCTCAAGCGATCCACCCACCTCAGCCTCAAATTAGTGGGATTATAGGTATGAGCCACCACACCTGGTGTAAATATCAAAATTATTTGATAAAATATTTACTAAAACTAGAAATGGTTTCTATAGCCTAAAGTTACAAAGAAATAGGACTGAAAACACACTAAATGTAAAATGGAAGAAATTTTTTAGCTTTATTTTGTTGCCAGTTTCTGTGCACAAATGCTTCAGACTTTTTTTTTATATAGCTTATAAATCTTAGTTATACACTGGAAGACAAAGTGAAGCAACAAATAAAGTTTTGTATGTGGGAAGGTAGTTTTATGCACAGTTTTCATAAACCCTTGCTGTTTAGTCATTCGGTCCTTGTTATTTTTCCCACCTCTCTCTACACAGCCTAAATGTGATGGCCAGATATTACTGACACAAGTGTGGAAGCGTTTGAATCTGGTAGAATGTGACTACTTCGGGTTGGAGTTTCAAAATACTCAGTCCTACTGGGTAAGTGCTTTGATTTGTTAGGGAAACAGGCCCTAGGCATGCAGTAGGATGCTTATGATGTGCCCAGGCATGGAGCCTTCGGGCCTGCTGTGATGATACCCACAAGATCTTTTATAATTGTCATATCATCAGTATCAAATATTTTTGCTATTAAAATATATTACTGTTAGCTGTAGATAATATATTTGCCTTTAATCCAAGCCTGAATTCACACCCTCCCTAAATTTGTTCTGTCGTTAGCACATGTGCCAAGGAAACTCTCTTAAAAGTTATAAAAGCAACTTCTAATACATCCTGTATGAAAATCATTTTGAAAGTGGATTTGTAGCAAACAACCAGTTATGCCTCATTTTACTTAATAGATGCAACCTTAAAAAGTGTGGAGTTTTAATATTTATAGATAGAACTGTTTTAAAGAACCATACATCTACCCTTTAGTTCAAAAAGCATGTCAGCATTATTAAGTTCTGTCCAGCCTTTCAGATACCCTTGGCAGTGCAACTGGATTTATCCAAGTTTCCTGTTCTGGTGACATGACGTACCTCTTTTTTACAGAAGCCCTCTCATCAGTTTGTTCATAAATGCAGTAGTACCAAATATTTGTTTGGTGTTAACAAATTCCCGCAAATAATTATTGGGACCCATTCTGTGCATGGCAGCAACTGAATGGAGGTATCCAGTATAATACAGCAATTTTAATGTCTTCCCAGGTTTCCCAAAGCAGGCATTGCTGTGCTTCTTGTACAGTTTGTTTTATCAGGATTCAACTTTTAAGAGGGGGTAGAGTCAAAATTTTCCTGACATAAAAATTTATCTAATTATAACCATTTTTGTTTTTATAGCATATTTGTTAAATAGAGACATTATTTAATAGATTGGATTTCTTCTGTTAACCCTTCTTTAGATTTGGCTTGAACCTATGAAACCCATCATTAGGCAAATACGAAGTAAGTCCTTGTTTTAACTCTTTAAAATCTGTTTGTTTAAGATGCTTTGTCCTGGAATGTTTAAAAGGCATGTTCAGATGTTCATTGTCACCACCGTGTATGGTTAGCAGGAAGTGATCACCAACAGCAGATAAACTTGGAAGTCATTTTGCTGTTTAGTTTTAGTAAATTTAACTCAGAAGATTCTAGGTGACTTGCTTCACATTTGGAAATAAGAGCATATGCTGTTTGATATCATCATAATTTTTGGCCAATATGCAAAAATAACTGCAGTTTCTCCCTTGATTGTGAAAAGACATTGAGATTCTCCTTTTAAATAGCTTTTAATAAAATAGTTGATACTATTTTACAGTTATAAACATAATTGTAACTGTGAATATAATAATAACAATTATATTATTATTTTTGAGACAGGGTCTCGCTATTTGTTGCCCAGGCTGGAGTGTAGTGGTGCGAACACAGTTCTCTGCAGCTTCAACCTCCTGGGTTCAAGCTGTCTTCCCACCTCAGTCTCAAAATAATTATTTTCATTTGTCTACTTACTAAATTTTTAAAATTAAAACAAATAGTAACACTTCTCAGTTCTTCTATAATTGTGTCAGATGAAGTCTATAGTTGAGTCACCCATAATTTTTTGTATTACTATTATAAATTGAAGAAAAAGGTGTGGAAATAACTTTGTTATATCAGAACAAGGATCTCTGAGGAAAGAAAACAAAATAAGTTGTTTTATGCTGATAAACTAAGATAATGTACCTTTACAGTAATCAGATTTCAAAAATAATTTTTTTTATTACTACTACTAATACTGGCCCGTTGTGGTGGCTAATGCCTGTAATTCTAGCAATTTGGGAGGCCCAAGCGGGCAGATCACCAGAGGTCAGGGATTCGAGACCAGCCTGACCAACATGGCGAAACCCTGTCTCTACTAAAAATACAAAATTTAGCTGGACGTGATGGCACATGCCTCTAATCTCAGCTACTCAGGAGGCTGAGGCAGGAGAATCGCTTGAGCCTGGAAGGTTGCAGTGAGCCGAGATCGTGCCACTGCACTCCAGCCTAGGCAACAGAGTGAGACTGCATCTCAAAAAAAAAAAAATAGTGTAAACACATAAACTTTTTTTAAAAAACTTTTTCATTTATCATTTTTTTCCCTAAAACATAAACTGGGGGCTGGATGCGGTGGCTCACACCTGTAATCCCAGCACTTTGGGAGGCCGAGGTGGGCAGATCACGAGGTCAGGAGATCGAGACCATCCTGGCTAACACGGTGAAACTCCGCCTCTACTAAAAGTATAAATTAGTCAGGCGTGGTGGCAGGCACTTGTAGTCCCAGCTACTCGGGAGCCTGAGGCAGGAGAATGGCATGAACCTGGGAGGCAGAGCTTGCAGTGAGCCGAGATTGCGCGCCTACACTCCAGCCTGGGTGACAGAGTGAGACTCTGTCTCAAAAAAATAAATAAACTAGGGAAAAAAATGTATCTCTGTCTCTATATATACGTGTGTGTGTGTGTGTGTGTGTGTGTGTGTATATATATATATATATATATATAAAAAGAGAGAGAGAGCGCGCAAGCATGTTTGTGTGTGGAGGGGTGGGCGGAGTCTCGTTCTGTCACCCAGCCTGGAGTGCAGTGGTGTGATCTCAGCTCACTGCAGCCTCTGCCTTCTGAGCTCAAGCAGTCCTCCCACCTTGGCCTCCCAAGTAGCTGGGACTTCAGGCATGCGCCACCACATCTGGCTGATTTGGGGTTTTTTTGGTGGGAAGAGGAGAGCGGGTAGAAATGGGATTTCACTATGTTGCCCAGGCTGGTCTGAGACTCCTAGGCTCAAGTGATCCGCCAGCCTCAGCCTCCCAAAGTGCTGGGATTACAGATGTGAACCACTGCACCCAGCCTATTTGAATATTTTAATGTGCATCTTCCTACTTGTTTTTAAGGCTTCCTTGAGTAATCCCTGCTTAATGCAAAAGATTTTAAAATTCTGTACATATGTGATTGGTACTTGGGACTCAAATTCATATACAGGAAATGCTTCTTTGTTTTTTCTTTTTTCTTTTGTTCAGAGACAGGGTCTCACTCTCCTGCCCAGGCTGGAGTGCAGTGGTGCAGTTGTAGCACACTGCAGCCTCAGACTACTGGCCTCAAGCCTTCTTTTCACCTCAGCCTCCCAAAGGGCTGGGATTACAGGCACACACCACCACACCTGGGCAGAAATTTCTTAATATCATATTATTTGAAAAGATTTGCTGTAACAGTCCACTTGGAAGCATGACCTCAGTTATGTAGTAATATATCAAAAGAGAATAAATGCAAAGATTGACCTTATTTGTGAAGTTTAAATTTTTTTTTTATAGGGCCAAAGAATGTGGTGCTTCGCCTAGCTGTGAAATTTTTCCCACCTGATCCTGGTCAGCTACAAGAAGAATATACAAGGTAAAGAGCTCGCAGAGCTGAAGCTGTTGTCAGCAGGAATCTTGTATTCACCTGTTATCTCCCACAGCACCTGGCTCATTGAAAGAATGAGTGAGCCTAATATACACAGAAAAGTGGTCATGAATGTAGAGTGGTTAAAGGAAGCATGTTAGCAATTGACCCGTGCACAGACATGTGAATAAGAGTTCAATGTAAGGTTTACAGTACAAATCTGAAAATGACAAATGGAATGGGATGTCAGGGTCATGTTGAACTTACATTTTCCAAATGAACATAGACTTATGCATGTTCAGAAGGTTCTCAGGGATGGATTTTACTCATATGTACTCTTCTTTATCACAAAATGTACTTAATGGGTAGAAGTACCCAGTGTGTTAGTCCTTAGGAATTTATGGAGCAGAAATATTTTGGGTCACTTCTTTTGTGATACTATTTTGATTTAAAGATCGATTCTTTATAGGAATGATCTAAAGATGGCAGGATGTGATGGCTCACGCCTGTAATCCCAGCACTTTGGGAGACCAAGGCAGGCAGATCACTTGAGGTCAGGAGTTCAATACCAGCCTGGCCAACGTGGCAAAACCCTGTCTCTACTAAAAATGCAAAGAAAATTGGCCAGGCGCGGTGGCTTATGCCTGTAATCCCAGCACTTTGGGAGTCCAAAGCAGGCGGATCACGGGGTCAGGAGATCGAGACCATCCTGGCTAACACGGTTTTGAAACCCCATCTCTAGTGAAAATACAAAAAATTAGCCAAGCGTGGTGGTGGGCCCCTGTAGTCCCAGCTACTCAGGAGGCTAAGGCAGGAGAATGGCGTGAACCTGCGAGGCGAAGTTTGCAGTGAGCCAAGATCACACCACTGCACTCTAGCCTGGGCAGCAGAGCGAGACTCCGTCTCCAAAAAAAAAAAAAAAAATCATCTAGACATGGTGGCAGGCACCTTTAATCCCAGCTAATTGGGAGGCCAAGGCAGGAGAATCTGTTGAACCCAGGAGGCAGAGGTTGCAGGGTTGCAGTGAGCTGAGGTCGGGCATTGCACTCCAGCCTGGGCAACAAGAGTGAAACTCTGTCTCAAAAAAAAAGAAAATGTTAACAGTTGTTTCATCTGGACAGTAAGGTTATGCAAGGTTTTTCTTTGTTTTTTTTTTGTATTTGTTTGCGTATCAATTATATTATGAAGAATAGAGGAATAATCTAAAAACCAACTGAAAACCCAAGGTGAGATATAAAAGAGAACGATGATGTTGTAGTGGTATCAATAACTTTTTTGCCTTCTGGCTAAACGTGTACTCATAAATGAATCGGATGTCTTATGAACTCTCTTGTAAATCATTTTACATCTCTTGCATATCATTTTAACAGCACAAAATCATAGCATGTCAACTGCAAGGAAATGGAGAGACCATATTAGTTCAGCCTCTTATTTTTAAAAGTTTAGGAAACTAAACTCCAAAGACGGCAAAAAGTATTTTTATGCGTGACCATAGATCTTAATAGTGTATTAAATGTCTGACATTTACCCAAAAAAGTCTCTCTTGAGGGAATCACTTTTAAATATATATATATATCTAGATAGATAGATAGACAGATAGATAGATAGATATCTGAAAATGATGGATAACAAAGTGTCCCCTAATTCAGGATCCTAGGTCTCAAGTTCTGGGACTCATGCTGGTAACTCAGTGTTATAGTTACTCCCTTCTCCCCTGTATTTATGTAGAGGATTCTTTTTTCTGTTATAAAAACATACATGTTTGTGGTAAAAGAATTTTTTTTCCAAATAAAGCTAAGGGCCAGGTGCAATGGCTTACACTTGTAATCCCAGCACTTCAGGAGGCCAAGGTGGGAAGATCAAGTTCAAGACCAGCCTAGGCAACATGGGGAGACCTCATCTCTACAAAATATCAAAAAATAAGCCAGGCGTGGTGGTGTGCACCTGTGGTCCCAGCTACTCTGGAGGCTGAGGCAGGAGTATCACTCGAGCCCAGGAGGTGAAGGCTGCAGTCAGCTGTGGTAGTGCCATACTACACTCCAGCCTGGGCAATAGAGTGAGAGTCTGTCTCAAAAAAATAAGTAAACAAAGATAAGTAAAAAGTAGAAGTTCTCCACTTACCCAGCACCTTATTCTCCGCGTAAGTACGTATCTTTCAGATGAAAGCATAGATGTACAATAAACACACAGCTGTAAGAACTTTAAAGAAATTACAAATATTATAAAACAATATCAAATGATACATACTGAACTGTAGGTTGATTTTTTCCCCCACTTACTAAGCATACTGTGGACATTTTTCCATATTGTATATAAAAATATACTAAATTAGGCTGTAACATAATTTAATCATTCTCATATTCATCCATATTTCCAATTTTTCTCTAATGCTGCAAAGAAACATTGTTCACATACCTTTGAGAACTATGGGAATATTACTCTAGGAAAGTTTGTAGAAATGGAATTGTTGTTACAGGGTATGTACAACATCCTGAATTTTAAGAGAATGTAGTAAATTTTAATAGTGCGCACTGGGGCATGAATTCCACTGGGGGGCGGGGAGTTGGTCTTGCTTACCGTTGCATGTCCAGCTCCCAGAACAGTACCTAGAACATAATTCACGCTCAGTAATTATTTGCTGATGGAATAAATGAACATAGATATTTTCAATTGCCTTCTCTCATTACATTCTCACTAATGATATTCAAAAGTGTCTGTTTCTCAGATCCTAGCCAAGACCAGATATTATCAATCTGTTAAAAAATTTTACAACCTTGCTTTAAGCTGTGTTTTCATTGGATATTTCTCCTGTTTCATCCAAAATTGTGAGTGCAGTTTTGTGTGACTAACAGAAGTAATGTGAATTTGTGACCTTCCCTCCTTGAAGGTATGGCTGCAGATGTGTAATTATATGGGTAGATGGTATGCCTGAGAAAGCTATTTCTTTTTTTTTTCCAGAGTTTTGCTCTTGTTGCCTAACCTGGAGTGCAGTGGTGTGATCTCAGCTCACTGCAACGTCTACCTCCGGGTTCAGGCGATTCTCCTGCCTCAGCCTCCCGAGTAGCTGGGATTACAGGCGTGAACCACCGTGCCCGGCTGGTTTTTGCACTTTTCGTAGAGACAGGGTTTCACAATGTTGGTCAGGCTGGTCTCGAACTCCTGACCTCAGGTGATCCACCCACCCCAGCCTCCCAAAGTGCTGGGATTACAGGAGTAAGCCACCGCCCCCGGCCAATTTCTTTTTTTTATTGTTTGCATCAGAGTGCCTCAGTGTGTTCAGCACTTTCTGTGCACTCTCCCATGTGTGTGACTCAGTCTGCTGAGTTGGTTTGTCATCTGACCTTTGCTTGGTGACTGTTTGTTTCATGAAAGGCCTTTTGTGACTTTGCTGTTTCGTGACCGCCTTGCATTTTGCTCACTGTTGGGTCGCTGCCACTTCCCAGGGCTCATTTGCTGTCTTGCTGTGGAGACATGTCCGTGTTACATTCAGAGAACATTTGGAGTTGATCTCTGTCTCATTTTGAACTCTCTTCTAGATACTTGTTTGCCTTGCAACTTAAGAGGGACCTGCTGGAAGAGCGTTTGACCTGTGCGGACACCACAGCGGCCCTTCTCACGTCCCATCTTCTGCAGTGTGAGTATCTCCCTGCTAGCAGGGAGCATGCACTGGCCATGGCACAGATGTACCCACGCTCAGAACTACAATTAGTTGCTGATGTACATGCCTAGTTAATGAGCCTGACCATAGAATGCTGTGTTTCAATTTCAATATTTTTTATAAACAAAAGGTTAACTTCTATAAAGTGGAATTCCTTGAGGCAAATAGTTTCCACATAGCAAACAGGCCAAGGCCAAAATCTGTAGCCACATTCCTTCTTTTGGGTTGTCTGTCATTTATGCTTTTGTGCATTTTACCAGCAATGCATATTCAGTCTTTAAGAGTCAGAATATAAACCAAACTCTCAGCAAACCCTGGAAAGGGCCTCACTGGGATAAAAGTTACAGCCCTCTCAGATTAGTTAAGCGTTAGCCATGAAGGAAAAAGAAGACATTTGTTCAGTATCTCACACAGATCAAGAGATGGTTCAGAACTGTGTGAAGAATTACAGTTACTTCAAAAATAAACCATGAGAAGTGTAAGAGGAGGTTCTGGAACCTTGCCGAGCCCCCAGCGATGGGAATAGAAAAACAAATACCCACAGTGCTCCTGGACTAGGGGTGGGACCACAGCTTCCTAGCACAGAACTAATGTTTCTGAAATTTGAATGCAGGAAATATGACATAGAAAGTGTCCAAAATTTTAGGAATTAATAAGTATATAGGTTATTTGCAGCTTCCTTGGTCCTTCCCCAGACATACCTTCTTCAAATAATAAATTTTATTGTGGGTTTGCTGTCCTCCACCAGGGGACATGTTGATTAATAAAAGTTTTCAAAGTGACTTTGGTTCTTATTCATTTGGCTGAAAGACTTATTGGGTAGACACATGGCAACAAATACAACATATGACTGAACCAGATCTTTTTGCTGTAAAAAACATAATTGGGCAGTTGGTAAAATATGACTAGGGTCCACATCTGGAATGGAGCCTCAGATCATGGCCTGTTCCTGTTCTGGGTAGTTTTACAAGGCTGCAGGTAAGAATATTGTATTAGTCCATTTTCACACTGCTGATAGAGACATGTGGCAGCAGCAAGAGAGAGCTTGTACAGGGAAACTACTCCTTATAAAACCGTCAGATCTCATGAGACTTATTCACTATTACAAGAACAGCACGGAAAAGATCCGCCCCCATGGTTCCGTTACCTCCCACTGGGTTCCTCGCACAATTTGTGGGACTTGTGGGGGTTACAATTCAAGATGAGATTTGGGTGGGAACACAGCCAAACCGTATCAAATGTCCTAGCTTCTAGAAAGTCCATACTGAAGTATGGCAAGTAACGTGTTAGCAACTCACTCTCAGATGGCTGAAAGGAGGAAAAACTCTTGTACTGTGCTTGTAACTTCTCTGTGAATATGAGATTGTCTAAAAATAAAAGCATATTGCTTTAAATTATTGGACTTTATGTTATTAAGACATTGTGGCCTTAAAATACATGAAATTAGAAAGAGACATTATTCATCAAGAAATTTGAGAAGGTCTGAAGGAAAAAATCACTTAAAATACATTATCCTAAAATAAATAAAGTACTTCATCCTGATCATGATAATCTTGAGACAACTTAGGTTTAAGGTGTGGTTTAAAAATAATAATACTCCAGGTGCAGTGGCTCATGCCATACTCCCAGCACATTTGGGAGGCCAAGGCAGGAGGATTGCTTAAGTCCAGGAGTTTGAGACCAGCCTGGGCAATGTGGCAAAACCTTATCTCTACAAAAAATACAAAAATTAGCTGGGCATGGTGGTGCTTACCTACAGTCCCAGCTACTTAGGAGGCTGAGGCGGGCAGATTGCTCGAGCCCGGGAGGTTGAGGCTGCATTGAGTGGTGATCGCACATTGCACTCCAGCCTGGGCAACAGAACGAGACCTTGTGTCAAAATAATAATAAACACATTAAACTCATCATTCAATGTTTGCCTCCCTGGAGGTACTCATCAGGCCTTTGTTCTTCAGGAAATCCTCTTCACTTCCCATTATATTTGCCTTTTAACAGCATAAAATATTTGGAAAAATAAAATACAAAATCTTGCTTTTTTAGGGATGTATTATTTTGCTACAAATTTGGGATAATTTTTTTTTTTTACTTTTAATGTATGCAGTGACATGTACAAATGCTTGTAGTTTATTTAAACATTAGAATTACTGACTTTTATCCTATCTCAGCGGAAATAGGAGATTACGATGAAATGCTGGACCGAGAGCACCTCAAAGCCAACGAGTATTTGCCTGGCCAGCAGCACTGCCTCGAGAAGATACTAGAATTCCATCAGAAGCACGTGTAAGTCATCACAATTGTCTATTGACACGTTGTCACCACAGTAATGACTAAAGAGTGTGTAACGAGAAAGGACTGTTGTCGTGACTTTTGCAAGATTCTAACATAAGGACCATTGCTCCCAGCCTCAGGATGTGCAGCTGCCGCCATAGACAGCTTGGCAGACACATAGAAGCTGCAGCCCTGGTCTGAAGCACCTTCACACCTGCATGATGTGCTGCTTTAGAAGGTGCTGGAAGAAGCTGGGCATGGTGGCTCACGCCTGTTATCCCAGCACCTTGGGAGGCTGAGGCAGGTGGATTGCCTGAGGTCAGGAGTTTGAGACCAGTCTGGCCAACATAGTGAAACCCCATCTCTACTAAAAATACAAAAAAATTAGCCGAGCTAATGGAAGGCACCTGTAATCCCAGCTACTCGGGAGGCTGAGGCAGGAGAATCGCTTGGACCCAGGAGGTGGAGGTTGCAGTGCGACAAGATTGCACCACTGCACACTCCAGCCTGGCAACAGAGCGAGACTCCGTCTCAAAAAAAAAAAATGGTACTGAAAAAGACATCAGGGCCTAGGGGAGGAGGATGCTACTGAGCAGGATGGGGTGGCTGTTGTGGGGGTCTCAGCTGCTGCGGTGTCTCTGCAGCGTGGCAGGAAGAGTCCTCTGCGAGGAAGACACTGTGCTGTGGAGGAGGAGGGGACTGTGAGGCTGACAGTGTTGGCCTGTGTCAGGGCGTTAGAGGAGGGGGGGACTGTAAGGCTGACAGTGTCGGCCTGTGTCAGGGCGTTGGGAATCACCTGGCACCCATGTCCTTCATCTCGTCTTGTTTTGATTTGTCTGAGACTTGACACTGGTGGATTTTTCTGGATGGAAGTGGTAGAGACCTAGAGAAAGAGTGCTAGCTAAGGGGAAAAGGATGGAAGAACAGTATGGGAAAGCACTGTGGGCTCTGGCCCAGGTGGGTGGGAGCTTTAGTCACCAAAGGGGAGCACTCAGCTGGTGAAAGTGAGTCAGGAGGACTTAGCCTTGCCTTTGTGACACGTCCTTTTGAGATGCAGGTTTGTCAGATCATGTATGTTCATGTGTGTCGTTAAGGCTCTACTGGGACCTGCTGGCAGCTGCCCTTTCACACCTTCAGAGTATGAGTGCCAACGATGCATCCACCACTGCTGTCAGCACTGGGGAGTTGGTTTGAACAGCACAGACTGAGATGCCTACCCGTACAGATTTTACCTTACCCTGTAAGATGGTGTGCATTTCGTGCCCTCACCACTCCCAGTGTGGGGGATCTCTTGTGTGTGCAGGGGAGTGCCTTGTGTGTGCCCAACAGCATGGCAGTCATGAGATATACAAATCCATTGCTACAGATGAGAATGTGTGCAGTGAGCAGGAGCATAGCTTATACACTATGAGCTGAAAGAAGGCTGAGGCGAGGCTCAAGGAGACTCGTGGGAGGACCTAGGCGGGCAGAGCCAGGAAGGAAGCATTCCAAGCAAAGCACCAGCCTGGGAAGGGAGGGAGGAGAGGGAGGTTCCAGCGTGGCATGGACACGTTGGGTTCAAGGGCTGGAGGTGGAAGTGCCAACTAATACTGGAGAGGCCATGGTGGCAATTACGGACAGCCCTTACAAGCATTTGTGTGTAATCCTCAAATCTGTCTCATGGCATGCACGGTTTTACCCCATCATACGTACGGTGAGACCGTGCGTGCAGAGTTCCCTCTCAGACATGACGGTGTGGGGCATCTTGTGTGCGTCAGTCGTTGCTTCTCCTCCATTCACCTGATCTGACCTTGAGGAGGCCTCCATGCAGGGCAGTGCGGGTAGAGCTCCTGCTCTGTTCTCCCGGGTACCCTTGGCTTTGCCTCTTTCAAGTGTTGCCATTATTCTGGCTGGTAGCGAGGAAGGTATAGCTATTCTGATTGTCACATCCAGACCTTGACCCATGGAGCCAAGGGCCCTCTCCTAGTGTTATGTGCCATCCCAGCAGGAAACGGTCACTGGTTCAGTCTGTGTTCCTAGGGTTGGGGACAGTCTCTCCCTGCTGAGACACACAGCGGGGGCTGGACATGAGGAAGGGAGAACTGAGCATTGTGCTGTGAACTGTCCAACCTGAAGGACAGTCCCTAGTGGATGGGTGGGTTTGGGATGCTGGGGAGAGTGTTGTCAGCACGTAGGCCAGGTTAACCTGTGCAATGGGTGAAATCAGCTAGGCAGAGGACAGATACAGGTCAGAAAGGGAGAAGAGCCCAGGATGAACCCCTGAAGAACTGACATTTGAGAGGCCGAGTGCAGGAGGAGGCACCCACAGGAGCCTTCAGCAGCCAGAGGCATGGAAGGGCACAGGTGCCAAGAGAGCATGTTTTAGGATAGTGGCCACAGCCCCTTGTGTGGAGACTACCAGGCCTGGGGAGGTAGGCACAGGAGCAGGTTTCTGAGCTTGGCAGTGTGGCAATGCATCACTTTCAGCATTTTCAGTGAGTGTTGAGGGTGAATTCTAGGTTCAAGTACACTGAAAGTACAGTGAGGAGACAGTGACAACATTTTGGGGCACTTATGTTGAGAAGCCTGCTTGTGGAAGAAAGAACTGGACCCTCAGGGTAGTTCTGTGTGTGTGTGTGTGGGTGTGTTCTGTGTATACATGTGTGGCTGTGTGGTCGTATGTGCATGTGTGTTATATGTGTTCCTATGCATGCATTGTGTGTCTGTGTGTGGCTCCTATGTTCCTGTGTGTTGATGTGTGTTCCTGTGTACGTTGTATACTGTGGTTATGTGTACTTGAACACGTGCGTGTGTCTCTGCGTGTGTGTGTGCTTACATGTGCACATGTATCTGCTAAAAACCCTACAAAACCAGTAAGAGAAGGGTGAGTCATGTGGTCTGCTTCATGCGGGAATACAGTTGAGCTCTTCCCAGATAAGCCGGGAAGCAGGAAGCTCTGCTCCACATCATAGGCCTTCACTGTGTTAATTTGAGAGTTTGTCTATCACAATCATCACAGCTTCATTGCACATCTGATTTCTTTTAATAGTTCTTTAGAGTTTTTACAACAATATTGTACCTTTATTTTAATTATTATACAATTTTTACATTGTCTTGTGATTCTAATGGTTCTTCAGTGATCCACTGAAAACACCTTTATAATCACTGAATAGGATATTAAAGAAGTGCTTTTCTTGACTGTATCACATTGCTTTTAGATCTTTGAAACTGCAGAAAAAAGCCAGGCACAGTGGCTCACGCCTGTAATCCCAACACTTTGAGAGGCCGACTGGTTTTGAGTCCAGGAGTTCAAGACCACCCTGGGCAACATGACAGAATCCTGTCTCTACAAAAAATTAGCCAACTGTGGTGGTGTGTGCCTGTGGTCTCAGCTACTTGGGAGACTGAGGTGGAAGGATGGCTTGAGCCTGGGAGGTGGAGCTTGCAGTGAGCCAAGATTATGCCACTACACTCCAGCCTGGGCAACAGAGCGAGACCCTGTCTCTAAATGAGTGAGCGAGCGAGTGAGTGAGTGAGTGAGTGATAAAACAGGTTTACAAGACACAAATGTTTCAGATAGTAAAAAATATTTTTTAAAATGAAAAGGAGTTGGCCGGGCGCAGTGGCTCATGCCCGTAATCCCAGCACTTTGGGAGGCCAAGGTGGGCGGATCACCTGAGGTCAGGAGTTTGAGACCAGCCCGGCCAACATGGCAAACCCTGTCTCTACTAAAAATACAAAAAGTTAGCTGGGCGTGGTGGCTCACACCTGTCATCACAGCTACTCCGGAGGCTGAGGCAGGAGAATCCACTTGAACCTGGGAGGCAGAGGTTGCAGTGAGCCGAGATTGCACCATTACACTCCAGCCTGAGCTGCAGAGTGAGACTTCATCAAAAAAAAAAAAAAAAAGAAGAAGAAAGAAAAGAAATACTGTAGATAACACTACTATCTCATCACACTCATTTTCTTTCTTTTTCATTTTATTTTATTATTATTGTTATTATTATTTGATGTGGAGTCTCGCTCTGTCACCCATTCTGAAGTGCAGTTGCATGATCTCAGCTCACTGCAAACTCCACCACCGTGCCTGGCTAATTTTTGTATTTTTAGTAGAGACAGGGTTTCACCGTGTTGTCCAGGCTGGTCTCGAACTCCTGACCTCAGGTGATCCACCCACCTCGGCCTCCCAAGGTGCTGGGATTACAGGCGTCGGCCACTGTGCCCGGCCCTTTGTGGTATTTCTTCTGATTTAAAATTTGTCTCTGCCAGTAGTGTTTGTGTATAACTTTGTCACTATAGAGCAGATGTAAGGCTGAGTAGCTAGTGTACGCAAAGAAAGCATTCTACCCGTTCCAAAGTAGTTACAGAATAGAAGAAAACTGAGGATGTCTTTGGTCTGCACATATGGTATATGTTTTTGTAGTGGGTAAACATACAGACAGTGAACGATCTGTCCTCTAGACATGTAAAGCCTTCATTGTTAGTTTTCCTGATCACTTCCATGATGCATTTTGGCTCTTTCAGAAATCAAGTGTTTGTAGTGTGTGGTTCTCCTGTTTTTCATTACAGGGGCCAGACACCTGCTGAGTCGGATTTCCAGGTGCTCGAAATTGCTCGAAAGTTGGAAATGTATGGCATCAGATTTCACATGGCTTCTGACAGGGAAGGAACCAAGATTCAACTGGCGGTTTCCCACATGGGTGTACTCGTGTTTCAGGTAGGCCAGTGGGGAAGGGAGGGGTGAGAACAGGGCAGGGGAGGTATTCTGCAACCTGGTGGGGTTTGTTCTTATAGATGTTGGTAAATTTTTGTCCTGATGAGTAAGGTCCTCGATTTGGAATGGGGGCTTTGCATATCATCCAATCCAACCTCTTACTCAGTGGGGAAATTATTCTTTTGTCCTTCTCTGACACAGGTGTGAATATCCTCCATATCATGGAGCCCACTGCTTCCTGGGACTACCTCCCGCCTCCCTGGATTCCCCATTGCCTCCTGCCCCACCAGGGCTGCCCACTGCCTCTGGGACTTCCCATTCCCTCCTGGGATTCCACCTACCCGCTTAGAATCCTAAAACACAACCTGTTTTTTTTCCAGTGGAGCAGTCTCTGTGCTGTGGGTGTGATCTGTGCTGGACTGTGAACACTTTAGAGTGGGTCACAGTAATCACTGAAGTAAACAAACTAGAATAGAGTAGGAAATAGCAGAGGGATTGCTTGTGATAAGAGTCAGTGTTGTCTTCTGAGGTGTTTGTATTAGTTGTGATGCATAGGTAAATAATTACATCAATGGTGAGCACGCCCTGCTCAGTTCCATTTGTGGTCATGTGTGTGTGTGCTGGGGTTTGTGATGTCCAAGAAGCTTAAGTGTGACTGCTGGTGCCAACTAGAAGGAGCTTTTCTTCTTATTCAGGCCCTTCACATATCTGAAAACTCTTGTTGGGGCTCCCTACGTCCTCTTGCACCCAGACTAAATATTTCCAACTTGTCTGGGCCCCTCCTTTTGGGGGCACTCCAGTCACTGGCCCTTGTAAAATTTTGCACCTCTGATAGACTATGGTAATCCCGAAAAGGTCTCCTCGATGCTGAATGTTGTGGGAATTGTCACTGTTGCAGTCTGGGAGCCCATTGCCTGCGTGACCTGCTGTTTTTTTATGGGCTTGTTTTAACCTGTGACTATCAAAAAGAGCTTGGTCTGATTCAGACCTCCCTCATCAAGCCATGTTTATTATTGTTTTCTTTTCCTTATTTTTTTTTTTTGAACCTAGCCATCAAGTTTCAATTTCCTGTCAGAAAAAAAAAAATTAATTTTGAATTTAGAATATTGTGTTATATCTCATACTAAATGTGATTAGAGAACAGTAAAAGTCCATGATAGAGACCAACCTTAGCAATCCATGCCTTCAGGTGGAGGGTCTGAGCATCCCCTGCCTATATCTGCTGATGAGTGTACCCCCATTGCACAGAGATGAAAACCTCACATCCAAACTGAGCCATTGTCACATTTCCGGAAAAAAGACAAATAATACAACCTAAAGAAGTTGTAAAAGCAAGGGATTAGAAACTTCAGATTGAAGATAGCAGACTGAATATATGTGTTTATTTTTATTCCCTGAAAACCCTGAACACAATGACAGTGAAGGCATTTTTTAAACATTTAAATCCATAAGAACAAAGAATGGGAAAACAGCCCATGAAAGATGAGGGATAGCAGCAATGTTTGGAAGCTGGGAAATGACACAGTGAGTGGGACCTGACTGCAGAGTAGGGAAGGCTGAAATCTCACAGCCTGCAGTGGCAAAGTCACAGTGCAAGCCAGCGTGTCCCGGGAGCCCCAGGAAGGGCTCCCAGTTCATGCTCAGGAGAAATAGGAATGTTCCTTCCTCAGAAATGTAAAATGTTATCTTGTAATTTTTTATATCAGCCTTGTTTGTGATAGTAAAATTTTGTGAATTAACCATTGGAAAGCCAGTTAAATAGCCTGGCACAGTGGTTCACACCTGTAATCTCAGCACTTTGGGAGGCTAAGGTGGGCAGATTGGCACATTGCTTGAGTCCAGGAGTTTGAGACCAGCTGGAGCAACATGGTGAAACCTCATCTCTACTAAAAATACCAAAAATTCACTGGGTGTAGTGGCATGTACCTGTAGTCCCAGCTACTCAGGAGGCTGAGGTGGGAGAATCACCTGAGCCCAGGAGGTCGAGGCTACAGTGAGCCAAGATCGTGCCACTACACACCAGCCTGGGCACCTAAATAAGTAAATAAATAAAAGCCAGCTAAATAAATGGTGGTGCATCCATATGAACAGAATATTGGGCAACTGTACAAACAAGGAAGCAGCTCTTTATATCCCAATAATGAGACATCCTTCAAGATCCATCATTACATGGAGAAAAGATTCAAAACTCTATATAGTAGCTACTGCTTGTGGGGAAAAGAGAGAAAATTATATGTGCACTATATTCCACACTATAAAATGAACTGGTGACATTAATGGCCCCAAGGAAGGGTGGCCAAACTGGCAGACTTTAGAACAATGCTGAGAGGGAGACTTGCACTATGGACTCATTTTTGAACCTTCAGAATCTGAGCCTTGTGAATATATCACCGTATTACATTTTCACAAAACCTTCACAGAAATGAAACACTGCGTCTCTGAAACGAACAGGATGCCATGACAGAAACAAATGGAGAACATAAAAACATTTGCAAATTAAAATATAGGCTGCCCCAGTCCATCCCCACCCCGTGTCGCCTACCTGGTCTGCACGCCAGGCAGGGGTCATCGAGCCTCTTTGTCCTGCAGAGTTGTGCTGGCAGATGTTCTGCTACTTTTTAGCAGGTTTTCAGCCTGGCCCCACATGCAACAATAGGAACCCAACCCCAGCAGACCTTGGGCTCTACAATTTCGTCTCCATCATCCGCAGAGGTATGGCAGCCTCAGTTCTAAGTGCAGATATTTAAAATTGTAATATAGGAGGATCCAAGATGGCTGATTAGAAGCAGCTGAGGTCCACGCCACTCACGAAGAGGAAAGAAAAGGGGTGAGTAAATTCACCTTCAACTGAAATATTCAGGTTCTCGCACTGGAACTAACTAGGCAAACAACTCAACCCACAGAGGATGAAGAAAAGCGAGGGTCGGGGTTAATGGCCCACCCAGGAGCAGCGTGGAGCCAAAGGAACCCCACCCCCAGGCAAGGGAAATGGTGAGTGATTGTGCAACCTCGCCCGGGAAACCACACTTCTCCCGCAGATCTTTGCAACCCACAATCAGGAGATCCCCTCATGAGCCATGCCACTGGGGCCTGGGGTCCAGTACACAGAGTTGTGTTCAGTCTCAGCAGAGCAGCCACTGAGTCACACACAGAGACCCAGGAGTTTCACACACTTCAGCCCCAGGACCCCCAGCAAGGTGGGAAATCTGTTTGTACAAACCCCTGGGAAGAGGGCTGAATCCAGCCTCATTCTGTGAGGCCCACTTCCACAGCACCTCACAAGTTAAGACCCACTGGCTTGGAATTCTAGCCAGCCAACAGCAGCAGGCTGGAAATCTGCCTGAGATGGATCCGAGTTCCTGGGGGGGAGCGGGGTGGCCACCATCTCTGTAGTTCAGTTGACTCAGCCATTTCAGCCTGCTGGCTTTGGAGAATATAAACAGTCTGGATAAGGAAGAGTTCCCCCAAATGCAGCATACCTACTCTGCAAAAAGCAGCCAGGCTGCTGCTTTAAGTGGGTCCGTGACCCTGTTCCTCCTGACTGGGTGAGCCACCCCTACAGGTGCATTTGGGCCAGCAACGAGTCAGTACCCTCCTGGCACAAAGCTTTCAGAGGAGGAAGCTGGCTGCCATCTTTTCTGTTTCACAGACTTTGCTGGTGATACCTCCAGGTACAGGAAAAACCAAGGCATCTAGGGTCTGCTCCAGACTCCCAGCAAACCTCAGAGGCCCTGTGGTAGAGTGGCCTGACTAGTAAAAGAAAAATAACAGGCCAGGTGCGATGGCTCACACCTGTAATCCCAGCACTTTGGGAGGCTGAGGTGGGTGGATCACTTGAGGTCAGGAGTTCAAGACCAGCCTGGCCAACATGGTGAAATCCCATCTCTACAAAAAATACAAAAATTAGCTGAATGTAGTGGTGGGCACCTGTAGTCCCAGCTATTTAGGAGGCTGAGACAGGAGAATCACTTGAACCCAGGGAGGCAGAGGTTGCAGTGAGCTGAGATCGCATCACTGCACTCCACACTGGGCAGCAGAGTGAGACTGTCTCAAAAAACAAATACCTGTAATCCCAGCACTGTGGGAGGCTGAAACAAATCCCCTGAGGTCAGGAGTTCAGGACCAGCCTGGCCAACGTGGTGAAACCCCATCTCTACTAATAATACAAAAAAAAAAAAAAAAAACTTAGCCAGGCATGGTGGCAGGCTGAGGAGGGAAAACTGCTTGAATCTGTGTGGCAGAGGTTGTAGTGAGCTGAGATTGTGCCACTGCACTCCACCCTGGGTGACAAAGTGAGACCCTATATCAAAAAAAAAAAAAGAAACAGAAAACAACAACAACATGAACCAAAAAAACCACATAAAAACCCCATTCAAAAGTCAGCAACCTCAAAGATCAAAGTTTGATAAACCCACAGAGATGAGAAAGTCAACACGAAAAATGCTGAACACTCAAAAAGTTAAAGTGCCTCTTCTCCTCCAAGTGACCACAACACCTCTCCAGCAAGGGAGAAATAGAAATGGGCTGAGGCAGAGATGGCGTTATTGACAGAAACAGGCTTCGGAAGGTGGGTAATAATGAACTTTGCTGAGCTAAAGGAGCATGTTGTAACCCAATGCAAAGAAGCTAAGGACCGTGATAAAACAACACAGGAACTTACAGCCAGTTTTGAGAGAAACATAACCAACCTGATGGAGCTGAAAAACACAACATGAGAACCTCACATTGCAATCACAAGTATCAATAGCAGAATAGGCCAAGCAGAGGAAAGAATCTCAGAGCATTTAAGACTATCTTTCTGAAATAGGCAGACAAGAATAGAGAGAAAAGAAGGAAAAGGAATGACAAAACCTCCAAGAAATATGGGATTATGTGAAGAGACCAAACCTACAACTAATTGGGTTACCCAAAAAAGACAGGGAGAGTGGAACCAAGTTGGAAGACGTACTTCAGGATATCATCCAGGAGAATTTCCCCAACCTAACAAGACAGGCTAATATTCA